CCTTCTGAGTGATGTACATGCCAGAGACCATCAGTGGCCCTGTTTTACTCATGGGGAAACTGAGACACAGAGCAGTTATGCCAGTTGCCAATGCCATCCAGCTGTAGGTGGAACTAGTGAGATTCTCAATTCTCCAGCCATGTGAGAGGCTGGAGCATGGAACACATTGTTTCCCTGTGAGAGTTGAACCTGCTGGTTCTAGAGTTCAAGCCTGGCTGGCTCCTACCCAGTGTCTGGCCCTCAGTGGACACTCAGGAGGCCTCAGTGCTTTGGCCTAGGACAGAGTTCCTAATCTCTCACCTGCCACCTTGCTAGACTGTCTGCTGGGAGGCTGGGAGACAGGCATTCTGTCGGGGGGGAGAGGCCAAACTCTCAGGTTGCTGCTAAGAAAGCATCTCAAATTTTCTGGAGCCCAGAGACTATATTTCCCAGGACAGATGGTAGGGGGACAAGACAGCCAACCCTAGGTACCAAGTGGGTAAAACAAGGTGCCCAAAGCTGGTTAATAAGGCACCATATCCTAGAAGATGCCAATCAGCCAAACTGCAACCATAGAGACACAGTAAGGCCAGCGTCTCTGGAGGGGTACCCAGGGATCAGGATGGCCCTGCCCTCCTCAGGGAAACAAGTCGCAAAACTGAGGTGTCAGAAGGGCTTTAGACAACAGCAGATTGTCCCAGGTCCTGTAGTCTGTTGAAAACTCAGACAAAAGACAATACACAGTGCTTCATCCAGACACAGGCTAGGCCCTAGCCAGCTAGTAGACAGGGTCCAGTCATCATGTGACTAATATGGAGATGGGATCTTTACAGAGGTCATTAAAGTAAAGTCATTAGGATGGCCCTTATCCAATGTGAGTGATATCTTCACGAAAAAGAGCAATAAGGACAGAGGGAAGAGACGGGAAGACATGGGGAGAAACGCCACCTGCGAGCCAGGAGAGAGGTCTCTGGATCAAACCCTGACACTTTGATCTTGGACTTCAGGCCTTCAGAACTGAGAGATTAAGTTTTGGTTGTTTGCACACCCCAGTTTGTAAGACTCAGTTATGGCAGCTGAGGAAACAAATGCAGCAACCAAGTCAGGAAGTCCTCATCCATCCAGCCCTCAGTTTCCCCACCTGTGCCTGGTGTCACTCCAAGTCATTCTCAGGCACCCTGTGGTACCTGGCAGGATGGGGGAAAGGTGGGCACAAGGGCAAGGAGCAGGGTAGGAGTAGGGCCCTTCACAGCCACTAGCCTGGACCACAGCCTCCCTCCAGCTGCTCTTTTGTGAAGCTAGCTGACTTCTTGGGAGAATCCTGGAGGCTTCATTTATCAGCACAGCAGGGGGCTAACCACAGGTCCCAGCATCAATTACAGCCTCCCCCCACCGCCCCGCTACGACACACACACACACACACACACACACACACACACACACACACACACACACACACACACACACACACTTGCGCTGGGCACAGAGAATCTGCAGGAAAAATAATAACGTGTGAGGAATCTTGAGATGAATCATCTTGGAGGAAGCAGCTGTGTTGATGAAATTTTCAAGCCGACATGAGAAAGAAAATACGAACCGCAATACAATGATTTAGCCTGTGAACTCTCTGGCACATTTTTAATTAAAGCTATTTTGGAGTTAAATAGAGGCCATAGGGGAGGGGGTGGGACAATGGGGGATGGGAAGCTGAACCCCAAGGCCATGTCACCTTAGGCTGTCTCAAAGAATAACATTCCTTGCTCCTGCTTTTCGCCAATGGGTAGGTCCCCCGCTTTGCATGGAGTTGGGGCCTGCCGTACAATTTGACTTCACTGCCAGCATCTTGAAATTTTACAGACCAGACTCATGAACTGAGGACTGCAGCCCTCTCATGGCTGAGATCTTGTTCCTCGAGATGCCCGAACAGTCTTCCAGTAGCTGTAGCAATGGAACCCTCACTACCTGACGAAGCAGCCCCCTTACTGAGGAAGACCATCTTGATTCTGGACAAGAACCAGCCTCTGCTGTGGGCCTGGAAGACTGGTTGGGAATCAGCCATGGGCTCCCCAAGCCGATGTGACCACTGAGATGCTGTAGCCAAAGGTCCAGCAGGTCCTTCCAAAGGCAGACAGGACAGCCTTGGGCCAAGAAAGCTCAAAGCAAGCACAGAAGCACCCGAGGGGGGTCAGGGAGGACTGCTAGCAGTGAGTCTATCTGGGCTGGTTGCACAGGACAGTACAAGAAGGAGGCTCAGTATCCTTTAGAATGAGGCCTGACTCTCACTGTAGGCAGAAATGAAAGGGCTCTATCTCTCTCTCTGCCTCACTTGTGAGCCTGGAGATTTGTCTGGCTCTGTGATACCATGGCTCCTAGTGCCTTTGTTGATGGTGAACCTCAGTGCCACCCAACAGTGGCAGCATAGGGACAGGGGCACCACATGGCTGCCTCTACTCAGGGTTCTGGGTGTGGTACTGACACCCACCTGCCAGGAGACCCTCAGCAAGACTCCTGCCCTTGGCAGAGTCCATGGTGAAGAATAAACTAGAGCTAGGACCTGAAAGGCTCACTGCCACAGGCCAGCTTGCCATCTGCTACCACAGCAGCTTGGCTTCTTAGCCTTTGCTTGGATAGAGAGCAAAGTTGTTCAACAGAAATCAACCTCACACATATAACCCTACCTTCTCCAGGGGCAGAGATCCAGAGGATGGCAGTTCGAGGCCAGCACAGGCAAAAATTTCACAAGATCCCATCTCAACCAACACCTGAGTGTGGTGGTGTGCCTCTCATCCCAGCTACACTGGAAGCATAAATAGGAGGACTGTGGTCCAGGCTGCCCCACTCATAAACATGAGACCCTATCTCAAATATAACCAAAGCAAAAAGGGCTGGGGCATGACTCAAGTGAAAGGAGAGAGGGAGGAAGGAGAAGTTTTGCACCGGACCATCTGAGCTACCTGAACTTGAACCTGGAAACAAGCCAGGGAGAGGCAGGCTTCAGTCCTTAAATCCCATTCTGACTGCTGCAGCCAGCAGGCCTGGGGCTGGGCAAGGGCCAACATCTCCCTGGCAGTTGGGAGGTTAAGGTCTGCACCAGGTGGGGCATGGGCACAGGTGTGTGAGCAAATGTCCACTGCTGCCTCCAGGATGCAGCTCAGAGCAGGCCTGGGAAGGGACAGGGTAGCCAAAGTCACCCCCCACTCAGGTCTCAAGGATCAGGCTCCTGTCAACCTCCACCTCTGCGCAGAGGCACGTGGGGCAAGTGGACATGCTGCGGGTGGGGAGGGCCTCCTTGTGAGGCCAGGGGCTGTTCCAGGAAGTAAGACAGAAGGGCTTCTATGCCATGGCTTTCATGTACACACACTTTACAAGTCCATGGTCAGGTTCACCATTTGGAACTAGGGTATAGGTTCTCCTATGGAAACAGGACTGACGACTGTAAGTGTGCTTCCCATGAAAATAACAAGGCAAGCAGCATACCAAATTTGGAGTTCGGGCTGTCGACCTGTTTCTCCCCAGGAACAAAGAAGGGCAGACTCTGGCCACATGACTCAGGGGTCCCAAGTGTAAGCCACCAGAACATGGCTCCAGCCTTTACTACACAAAAGTGGCCCATCCCCCAGGAGCCAACCTTCTGTTCCCAGAAGGGAGTGACTCCTTTCCCTACTCTCAGGATGGGAACCTTCTCCAAAGCAAAAGGCCCTGAGCTCTGATACTGCTGTTCCACCCACCAGTACTCCTGGAATCTCTTCTGCCTGCAGCCTCCGCAGCCTATCCACACCCCGCCATTAGCTTCCACATGCAGGTCAGGCCTATGGGGAATTTTAAGGCCTAGAAGTCCTACCCCCACCAATGAAACCTCATCCCTACCTCCCTTCCCCGGCCCCAAGAAGTCAGTACATCCTCTGGCCCGGGCCCTCAAATTACAAAACCCAGCCTGGACACTGACCGGGCCCTAGAGTTCATTGTGCTGGTTGTGGGATATGGAGAGAGTGGGGAAAAGAAGTCCTGCCAATGGCCCCAGCAGAGTGGGCTGTGGGGATGACATGGTGAGGCTACCCTCTCCACTCAGGGTCATGAGCCTCCTAGCAGCCACCAGTAGGCAGAGGAGGCTATAGGCTTCCTGAGCCCTGCAGGTGGCATCAAGCCCAAACGGTGGCCTGGCAACAGAGTCAGGCATCTGAGCTATCTCTAGGGTTGGTTCCCAGAGAAATACTTCGGGCATCCAGGGCCAGCTACTTATGGGCCAGTGGGTATAGCAGGGGAGGAGGAGGCTGAAACTAAGCCAGGGTTGGGTACAAGGAAGACAGAGTTAGAGAGATTGGCCAAGCCAGCTGGGCCCCAGGTACCCCAACCCAGGGCTAACCACAACCTCCCATCACCAGCCCCCAGGCCTTCCCCCACCCTCAGCAGGGAAGGTTCCTTGTCCCGTTCAAGTTCCAGCCACAGTCCACAACAGGCACAGAACCAGATATGCCTCCTTCCCACTCTCTGCCCTGACCACCAAGTCTGTCATCCACCACCCCAACACTACCTGCTCCACACAGACTCACAGCCTCAGCTGTCTATGGGAGCAGGGCCAGGCCCAGGAGGCAGGAGAGTGAACCCAGACCCGAGAGGAATTGGCCAGCAAGTGCAGTGTGGTAGCTTGGGGAGAGGGCAGGGTTCTACGTGGGTCTGCCTGCCTGTCCTTCCTCCATCTGCCTGTCCACCAAAGGGACAAAGTGACTCAGTTTTTCACCAATTATGTGACCAACCCCCCTGGCTGAGGCCCAGTGCCAGTCCTCTGGAGGTCACAGACCACTGCGGGGAGGGGCAGTTGGCATGGTCGGGAAGACCCAGGGGCCCTGGAGCCAGGATTACAGTGAGGATTAGGCCTGGGATCTGGGTTTTACAGGAGCAGGTGGTAGGTGGGAGGCTATGGGCACCCAGGCAAAAGGAGCCCTGGATAAGCTGAGGTTGGGGTGAGTGCTGGGGAGGTGGTCCTTGGGGTACAGTGGCCACCACCCTTTCAGTCAGCCTACCTGTGGGAGGAGCTTGTCACCTTCTAACAGCTTCACCTTGGTCTCCAGCTGCCTGATGTAGGTGGACGAGGGATCTGGAAGGACAGAGAAGAAGTGGAGGGCATATTAACCACCAGCAGACTCATCCTAAGGGCAGAACCAGCCCCATCCCAAAAGCCTCTCATTGTGGGCCTCTGAGCCTGGTTTCTAGGACTGTAGGAAGCTGATGTGAGCTTCCCTCACCCACCTGTCCCTGTCCTGGGAGTGATTCCTTCTGTTTCCAAGAAGTTTCAGGCCCAAAAAGAGTTCATATAAACACCTACAGCCAAGGTAGAACCCATCCCAGGGCCCAGAGCAGTGGGAAAAGATCCCTGAGTGTGGGCAGCACCATCCAATAGGCTGGGAGCCTGGGTGGAGTAAAAATGGAAGAGAAAACCCACTAGCAAAGGTGCTCTCTCCCCTCCCCTCCTTTTCTCTCCTCTTTCTTCTATCTCCCTCTCCTTCTCTTTCCCTCCTCCCCCACCCCACCTCCTGCTTCCTGGCTACCATGACTATGGCTTCTTCCTCTGCCACAGTCCCACCACTACGATATCCTGTATCACCTGAGGCCCAAAGCAATTAATCCAGGGACCTTGGACTGACACCTTTGAAGTCATAAACCAAGATAAATCTTTCCTCCTTTACTTGTTTCAGTCAGATATTTTTGTCACAGCAACAAAAGTTGCCTAACACACCAAGTTAGCCCCTTGGATCTCTACCCAACCCGACCTTATTCACAGGCAAACTGACTGTGACCCAAGAGCATCCTATAGCATCTATTCCAGTTGGCACCAACAGCAGGTGAGCATAAGCCTTTCCTACTCAACTCTCAATGCTTAAAGCAACAGGAGCCAAGGGCTGGGCCAGGGGCCCGGCACGATGCTGAGGAACCCCCCAACCTCAGGGTCCCAGTGTCTGAATGAGAACAGGGGAGGCCAAGCAGACAACCCCATGCAAACCACTTCTGAGGGGGGGAGATCCACACTGACCTTGCTTTTTTATCCCATCAGAAAAAGAGACAAAAATTTCACACACCCCGCTACCTTGACCCCACCCCTGACCACCCCGTAGCCCTGGTCTCCTCAGCCAGCCCAGACCACTCAGGCTGTGATGGAGGGAGCCTGCCTTAGTGGAGGGAGAAGGAAGGAAGAGGACAAGCATGGCAGGGTGATCAAGGGGACTGCAGGACCTGTCCCAAGCAACTCTGAGAGTAGACAGCATGAAATACCTCACCAACAGTCACATGGCCACCTGGTTAAGGACAGACTATTAATGCCTCATGCCAGAAATCGCAGGGCCCAGCCACTAGCCAGGACTCTGTCCACCTCACAGCTGGTCACTCCTGGTGCTATACCCATCTGTAAGAAGGCAGATCTTTCCATGTTCACACCTCTCAGCACTTGACTTCAGAAGTAATTGGGCATCAAACCCCTTGACCGAAGCTAGCTGCTGAATTCCACCTCTGACACTCGGAGTTGTGGTCAGACTTCTACAATTCCTAGGTGGGCAGAAAGGGTTTGGGTGCTGCTGGGAACACACCAGGAATGTCACAACCATGGGAGCAATGAAGCATCTGTCCACCACAAGGCCAGTGCAACTCCACAAACTCCACTCCTTAGTGTTCTCCGTCCTCTGCCCCTCTGAGCCCACAGGTTCAAACGAAGGGCAGGTATAGAATCCACCAGTGCCTCGTGAGGACCAAAGATCCCAGGAATACCTCCCCAAGAATGCCTGTGCCCATAGAGGTGCCCTCGACCTGTCTACTGTGGGACACTGTATTCCCTGAGCACACCTGACGGACCCTCAGGAGCCCCCACCCACTCCGCCCAGGTCCACAGGGCCCAGCTGAGCACCTGGTCCAGTCCTAGGCAAGAACAGTGGTGCCTGGAGCATGGCCCAGCCCACTTAGTGTCGGGGAGTTGACAAACCAGACCTTCCCTCCTCCTCTATTCCCAACAGTCACCTCTCAGGAATGCAGAGCCTTCTAGAGAGGAGAGAAGGATGGCTCCCTGGCAAACGCCTGGTCCACCCCACCCTCGGGAATGATGACAGTACCTGGCACAGGGCAGCTTGAGTTGGGGAGCCCTACCACGTACCCCAGCCTCACCACACCAGCACACATGGCTCCACATGACATCTAAAGAGAAGCAAGGTTCCAAGACAAAGGGATACAACCCCGGCACGTTTCGCGGGATTTGACTGGAGGCACCAGACTGCAATGTTCACTCAGGCCCTGCCAGCATAACGCTGGCAGGGGCCCTGACCAGTCCCACAGGCCACAGCTGCATGATAGCCTCAGTTTACTCACTGGCCATCTAATGCCAACTAGCAGTTCCCACACTTATACTTCACCACAGGCATGATGAGAAAAGGCCTCAGTGTTCAGAGTATGCTGGGCAACTCTGAGCATGGGGAGGGAAACAGGGCAGACCTTAGTGCCTGCATCCCCTCAACAGTGGGGTCCAAAGACCCCACTGAGTTAAGATAAGAAGACCACAATTACTACGTGACCCCTTATGGCCTCTCTGAGTAGAACAGTGAAGAGGGAAGGGCCCAATGCCTGGGATATGGTACCTCATTGAAGCTTTATGAGGAACAAGCAACCATTGTTCTCCTTTTCCAGATGAGACTACAAGGTCTCCAGATGAGACCCTCTCCCCACCATCCAGACCCACCCTGGGCAAAGCCTCGGAGAAGAGCCGCAAGGCTCATGCAGGGTGGAGGTGTCCCTGTACCGCCACTCTCCCACATTCTCTGCTGCTGTAAACTGTCTGGACACAGCCGCAAGCCCCCCAGCACACTGCAACACCCCCACTAAACCCACCTGCTCAGGTTTCCCCAGAAAACAGAGGGGCTATACAGAACAAGTTACACATCAGGTTTTGTTTTTGTAATTTCAAAAGAACAATGCAGCAATCTTTAAAAGATATTTCACATCATCTAGTATTCCAATGGAATTGATCCTAAAGAATTAATTCTAATTCTGAAGACAGAGTTAAACTGGAAATAACTATTTGTCCACCAATAGCTGAGAGTGCTACCTTGTCATCATTAAAATGGAGTTTAGAAAGAGTTTCCCAAACAATATGGAAAGGTACTTAAAATGCCAGGGGAAAGAATTGGATATAAAATTATAGGTATGATAGCTGCTATATTTAAAAATATCTAATGCACTAAAATAAACTTAGGAAGGAAGTGCATAGAAATATTGACAGTGGTGTTGGTCAGATGAGAGAATGCGTGATTTTTTAGTTATTCACACCACCTCTTGTCAATTTTCAAATAATCTACTTCTAGAGTGGGAAGAAATCTTATTTTGACAAGGAAGAAGAATGGATTAAATCATTACAGCTTCCCTTCTCATTGCCCCCCACTGAAGTCACTGACAACTTACATCCTTCATGCCTGACCCTGTCCCCACCCCACTCCCCAAACCAGGCTTTCCACATTGCCGGAGCCAGGAAGCTGGTGCTCTGGTCCCCCTTCAGTTAGGAGCAGAGAGAAAGAATGAGAGCAAGGGGAGTCTCCCGAGTGAGGGCTGAAGGCTGGGAGACCCCAGGAGGGCTGGCTCCTTGGGAGGACCACCCTTCCAGTGGTCTCAAAACTTGTGATCTCACAGGGCTCCTCCCAGCCTCTCTCGGATGAGCATGTAATTAAATTAATCCCTGGGCTTGCAGTTATGAGAGCTGGAGCCACAAAGAAGAGAAACATCATTTCCTGGCTTGCCTGCTATGGGCAAAATAAGAACAGTGTCCACAGGAGACTCTGGGCTGAGCTGGCCAACGTACCCCCTCAGACACACCTCTGACCTCTCTGAGGTCAATCCTAGAGTTCATAATCTAGCTTCTGTCCATTTCTCTCCCAAGAGCCAAACGTCAGCCCTGCTCCCTGGGGTGGCTTTGGTAGAAGGGAGTCACAGCGCCTACAAGGTCTGTCAGACGTCTCCCCCAATGGCCACTCCTCTCTGGCTGTCTAAGAAGCCCTGTGCTGGGTCCTGCCAGTGACCACAGGCTCCCGTCTTACCAGAAGCTATGAGTCGAGGGCTGGGAACACATTGTCTCCCATTCTGGCTCTGAACCTCACAAGACGATGTCAACCCCAGTGTCTCTCCAGCCTCTGCAGCATCCGGGAGATAGGAACGAGGGGTCAGGAGCTAGGTCCCAATCCTTCCAATGCCCTTCCTCACCTCACTCAGGCCTCGGCACAGAGTAGGCTCACAGAAAAAGCCTGAAGCCCTATCAGAAACACAACCTGCCATGAAGGAGCTTGTCCTCAGGCAGCTCCTAACTCCCAGCAGCAGCAGCAGCTACAGTGAGCCGCTCAGGAATGCCAGCAGCCCACACACACCCTGGGCAGGACTCAGACAGGAACTGCAGAGGCCACAGGTGGGAGCATGCTCGGGCTCCAAAGATATGATGCATGGCACTTCACACTGTCACTTCAGGTCACCTCCTGTGACCTGAAGGTATGTGAATCTTAGACCACATACCTTCGAAGTGGACCCTGAGATAAGGAATCAAGTCCAGAAAGTCCATCCAGGTAGGGGGGTGAAAAATGAGGCAGGGAAAGGAAGAAGCCAATGGAGGAGGCACATGCTGCCCATGTGCTCAGTGGTGACAGCACTGATGCCCCAGCACTGATGTCCCTAGAGGGTGGACAGGAAAAGCTTCTAGGCAGAAAACCTCAGGTGGGGCAGCAGCAGCAAGTGCCAGTGTCTTACTACAGATGAAGAGAAAGTGTGACTGACCCCCTTCACAGGAAGAAGCAGGTCACAGTGACAAATAGTGACACCCAAGGGCAACTGTCTAGCTGCCACTCCATCCCAGGGTCCCTACCAGCCCTGCCTCCCTGCCAGCCCCTCCTCCTGAGTAAGATCTTACATCAATGCTTCCCTGCCCTTGTCACATTCTCCAAAGGTCTGAGGACAGCTGGGCTTTGTGGTAGATAATTAGCAGGAAACCTGGCCACACCAAACCTCTGGCCTCCTCCATGGGGGCTCAAGCCCAGAGGCTGCAAGGGCTCCGCACAAAATGGCTGACATTTCCACTAAGCGCTC